CTCTCTCTCTCTCTCTTCTCTCTCTCTCTCTCTCTCTCTCTCTCTCTCTCTCTCTCTCCCACACACACATCTCTACATTTACACACAGGATACATAATGCTCACACTCACAATCGCACACATATTGATGAACATAAACAATTAATCTTAATAATAATCATGTTTAAACTGGGTGCATAATCAGTATTCTGATAGTAATCTTATGGTATTCTGATAGTGTATGCTTTAAGGTCATAGAAATGCCTTTTTTTTTAAAAGAAGAAATGTTTGTTTTAGATGCATTATATTATGTTTTTGTTTTATCACATTATCATATTTTTAAAAAAAATATTGTATTAAGTTATATTTTATCATATTTCATTTTATTTTATTCCATTTTATTTCGTTTTAATTTTATTTCATTTCATTTTTATGTATTCTGTTATTTTATTTTATTTCATGAAATTCACACTATCTTATGTTATCTTATATTATTTTATTTTATTGCATTATATTTTATTGTACTTCTATGGATACATATCTGTACCATCTTCCTTTGTGTCCTCCTCCAGTGTTCAAAGATTCAGATGAGGGCAGTGACATCGCCAATGCCACAGAATCTATCTTCACAACGTCACCAACTGTCACTGGCACTGTCACTAGTCGTCACACCACGCCATCGACTGTCACGTCTCCATCATCATCAACATCATCATCAACATCAACGTCAACAACATCATCATCATCAACATCAACGTCAACAACATCACCATCATCAACGTCAACATCATCATCATCATCGACCGCACCCTCCACAACTGTGTCTTCCTCGACTACAACGACAGCAACAACAACTATGGCAAGAGAACTGTCATCAACGTCAAGCTCAACTATGAATGTCACCACCGAAAGCTCAACGACGACCATGTCATCATCGTCTTCTTCATCATCACCATCATCATCTACCACAACGACGGAGTCGACCACCACTGTGCCAGGTAGGAATTGTGTCTTTTGAACTTGAACAATCGCATCATTGATCGCTCCTAAAGTCTAGAATGGTCATCCTTCTTGGCAATATAGCGGAGAATGCTCTAAACCATTATACATCTAGTGGCCAGATGATGTGCTAGTTTGCAGGCCAAAATGTTTTTAGTTACCTCTATTTGTTTGGCTTCTAGAGCAAATAAAGAGAGAAATGGCAGCAAATAGGCAAATAGTGCCTTTCCTCTATATAAGGTGTTCCCAAAACTTTGATGTGTGGGGTGTGGACCCATCCCACTGGAACCAGGCCTCTTCCTCATAACACTTCTCCCCTCCCC